CTCCTCGCTGGAGCCTCTTTTTTTTTTTGCCTCACCCCAGCCCTGGGCTCAGCTCCTCGCTGGAGTTGCTCTTATAAGGCTGAGTGGTAAGGGCTATAATGTTGGAGACAAAGGACTGTACACTACTAGAAAAACGCTCAATAGGGACCCCTTTATTAGAGACCCAAATAAAAACAGTCTCTATTGAATGTTATTAGGGACTGATAATAGAAACAGTCTCTATAAAATACTATTAGGGACGGATTAATAAATTTTGTGACTAATTATTTGAATAAGTTAACAAATAAGGCACATATAACTAACAACCGTGCCTAAAAGCCCTCCACCATCTTCACTAAAGGCACGGATAACTTAAAAACCATGCCTAAAAGCCCTCCACCGTGCCATTGTACCAAGTACCAACTAAAAACTTATACGTATACATCATCGTCTACACCCTTCCTTCTTTCTTTTACCCCTCATATTTTAGGTTTTTTGTTGTTGAGATTTTCTATTTAAACCCCGCACTTCTCTTTGTTCACCCCAATACTTAAATCATTAAACTATAAGTTTTATTATTGTGTAAAAAGACAAAAAAGGTCATCCAACTTAATAATTAACCCTAGTACATCTATATACACACCCCACACCCCACACACCCCACACACCCCACCATTCTTCATATCAAGTTTTAGAAAAATACAAACTTCTCTACATCTTATTGCCAGATTACTCTTTTCTTTAAAAGACATAGAAAATTGATTAGCCTACCTCTTTAAATATGCGTGGGAGTTGATGGAAAGGCTTGTTGATTATCAACTCAACAATACCCAAGTGTTGGAATTCCAGTTATAGTTCTTGGAGAGAGTTAAAGTTGTTCTCTTTCTCTAGAAAGTATTAAATTTCAACTTTAGGGTTCTATTTGTTTGTGTTTGTTTTGCTGGAAACAAAGAAAATTGTGGGGTTTAAATAGAAAATCTCTTTTATTTCTTATTTTTTCAGTTTGGGGTGTATTTAAAGGTAGTTTGGGAAGATAGTGGGGTTTTCTTAGAAATTGTGAAAATTTAAATTAAAAGATGGGGTGAACATGAGGTGAACTAAGAGAAGTGTGGGGTTTAAATAGAAAATCTTTTTTTTTCTTTCCCTTTTTCTTTTTTCGGGCAAGCAGAGCTCTCTCTCTCAACTCTTGAACTACCTCCTCCTCTGTAAAACCAGGCCCTAAGCTCTAAAAGCCTACAGAGGGGGGGTGAAGTAGGCGAGAAGAAAAAGACTACCCTTTTTAAAAAACACTTCTTCAAAAGCACATAAGCACCAACACAAGCAATTTCGTGGTTAATAAAATAAAACTAGTAATAGCGGAATGTAAATAACACACGATAATTGTTGACCCAAAAAACCCAATAGGGTGAAAAACTGGGGGCACCAAGCCAGGAGAGATCCAATCTACTCAATTAAGAAATACAAGAAAAACGAAAGAAGACTTAGCTCATCTATCACCTATAGGAAGCTACAATCCAACCTTTCAGCAAGCACCTTTTCTTTATCTCTTAGCAGCAGATCCTCTCAAGAGCACCAAGCTCAAGTTGCATGTAGTTTGATGTATGAAGTGAGTTATGGTTTCACATATTCATCTATCTCAATCACAAAGTATGATTGAGCTAGACAAATGAAACCTAAGTGTTGTGATGATTAAACTAGAAGTAATGAACTTGAAGCATATAGTTTAACTCAAAATAACAACAATGAAACAATGAAACTTCAGCCGAAATCAATGTGATTTAATTTGGAGTTTTTCAATGAATTATGCAATCATAACCATGCTCTTAATTAAATCACAATGGCTAAAGTAATAACAATTGTTTTTGAATGCTCAAAAGCAAATTAGAATTGTTTTTCAAAAACTATAAACATGACTGCATAAGATTTTAAGTGTATGTGCAGTTTCTGTTTTTCCATCAAGAATGAATGGTCTGCTTCATATTTCAAAGGAAAGTGCAGCACCTATTTTCATGCATGAGTGAAAGCCCTCTCATGCAAGTCTATCCGAAGGGAAATATATAGAGCTATTTCAAAACACTTTGTTTTAGCAAGCCACAGGCAAAAGAACTTTAACAAGTGAACGGCTCCAAAAACCAAAACAATATAAGGAATTGTTTTATCCTTTTTGGAGAGCATGTGGGCTGACAAGGTATGGAGAGGAATATAACCAAATAGCATGGGTGTGTTTGGGAACCAACAATAGCCGCATGTGGCTGCTTGACAAGAAGAATAATTAATAGGAAAAATCCCATCACTTTAAAAAGGTGGGAGACAAACAGCTTTTTTTGTAAGGAAGGGTATGGGTTATTACACAAAACAAAAACATGATTCCTGGAAAGCAAAGAGCCGTTTGAGAGTGAGTAAGATACTCTCAAGCTTTTGTCAAATACACAAGCACAAGTTTTGCACAAAAGTATAGTTGAGATGTGTGTGCAAAAGACAAAGAAAGAATATAATAATCAAGAGTCTTTAGAAAGAAGGGGTTTAATATTTTGTAAAGATAGTCAATAATAAGTATAATAAACCCCATGCTTTGGTCAGATAAAAAATATCAATGCAATAAAGGAATCTGACAAAGCTGTAAAAACTGACGCAGAATGGATTAATACAAGTGAGAATGTATTAATCCAAGTGATCTATGCATATGATTTTACCTTTTGAACTGCAACGAGGAGACATGGAAGCCCTTCAACCCACACTGATTCTAACCTAGAATCTAATTAATATTACAACGGGTTTGTTGGTTTAAGAGAAGAGCCAAAATACAATAAAGGTCCAAATAAAAACCTTACACCCTCACAGTCTATCTGTGACAACACGACCTTGGTTTCAAGTGATGGAAGCTTTGAGCTTGGTTTCTTTAGTCCAGGTCGTTCCACGAATCATTATTTGGGGATTTGGTACAAGAAGATCCTAGTTAGAATTGTGTTGTTTGGGTTGCAAACAGATGCAACCCCATTAATGATTCTTCTTGGCATTTTGATATGATAAACACATGCAATCTTGTGTTATCGGGTCAGAATAAGAGTGTTGCTTGGTTGACAAGCTCAGTTAAAACACGTCCCAACTGCATCATACGAACATGATAAAGAAAAGGGATGTAAATTGATAGGCTATCGCTCTGTTTGATTGTATTTTGATGAGTATTTGATAGAATGATTTAAAATTCGATCGAGTTTAATTGGGTTAGAAGTGATATGGTGAAACTAGTATACATATTCCATCTGCATATATAAGTTTTCGTTTCCTTACACTTACTTATAGGCTATCGCTAACATGAAGCCCATTTCTACTATATGAGAGAAAACAGAAATAGGCGAAACAAACGTTGTTGACAAGAACGACGTGTACCAGCTTTATAAGGAGCATTCATATCTGGCATATCGATGTCATGCTTTTTGCAAAATGATTCCACTTCCTCAAAGAAAGTATCCCAACCCTCCAATCTTAATTTCTGAAGAGCATCTTTTGTACTACGAACTAAATTCATGGCAGTAAGAATATCTTGAGATTTATTTTGCAATGCTCGACAAAGGCTATCAGTAAGTCCCATAATTTTTTCTAGCAAATTCAAGATAAATATGAACTCGTAAGATGTCATCGCTTTGAACGTACCAGTTGCTTCCCCACGTATAGAATTAGAGGCTCCATCCTTAATCAAGGTCTCAACAACTGTACAAGATGCATTAAACATATTTAATAAATCTGAACAAGAATCATAATGAGAGCCCCAACGAGTAGCACCAGGCCGATGCAAGGTACCAATTTGATTAAGCCCTCTATCTGTCTCACGTTCACCAGTGTCAAGCATATGTGCAATATCAATTTCTTGGGTAGATTGTAACTCACCATGGCGCTTGGGAGAAGCAGTAATAAGATTGATAATGGAATTCAGTGTTGAAAAGAATATCCAAATAGGAGCCACATCTTTTGATGCTGCAACTAATGCTAATTGTAGCCTGTGAGCAAAACAATGCACATAATATGCATATGGGCAATCTCTAAGAAATAATGCTTGTAGTCCATTCCATGCACCTCGCATGTTGCTAGCACCATCATATCCTTGACCTCGCATTTTATCAATTTGGAGACCAAAATTCATAAGAACCCGAGATATCTCTTTTTTAAGTGTCAACGAACTAGTATCTTCAACCCTCACAATCTCAAAAAAACGTTCTCGTACAAAACCATCCTTATCAACAAATCTTAAAACAATGGCCATTTGCTCTCTATTAGATGCATCTTTTGCTTCATCAACAAGAATACAATAAGTTGATTCCCCAACTTCATCACGAATTTTGTTTCTCACTTTGTCAGCAAGAATATGTAAAACTTGCTTTTGAATTGATGGTGCGATATATTTAGCATTTCTCGGGGCATTCTCTAAAACAACTTCAGCAACTTTATCATTCCATTGTGCTGTATATTTTATCAATTCAATGAAATTTCCACGATTCATTGAGTCTATGGATTCATCATGACCTCTAAAAGCACATGCTTGAAATGTAAGCCCCCGAACACTCTCAATTGTTGCCTTGAGTCATAATCGGTTCTTCAAAATTTGATCTTTCGGTTGTTTATGAATAACTTTCTCAATATGCTCAGATGATTTCATTAAGTCTTGAGCACCTCTGACACAATTGTTATGTGGTGAAGATGGACCTCCAACATGAACCAAAAATGCACAATTCTTTCCATCATTAACTCTTTTCCAATTATTGAACCCATCAGTAATTAGTGCAGACCCACTTGCTGGATTTTTTTCAAAGACAAAGCATGGTAAACAATATGCTTTATCTGTTGAAGGAGAATACTCTAACCATGGAAATTGTGAAAACCAAGAATGTTGAAAACGACGTCTTTGTTGGCCGAACAAAGTCCTCGGATACTCAAAAAGTTTCGGTTGATAAGGCCCCAACTTAATATAAGCCTTTCGAATCTCATCACGTTGATTGATTGGGTGCTCACAAATTGGAATGCGTTTCCCAGGATCCCGTTCTAAAGAAGCAATATCAAACTCTTTAGGTTGAACTGCGTGAGATTCTAGTTCAAAAAGTTCCTCAGGAATTGAAGTATGAATAGTAGATGCAGAAGGTGTATCCTTATTATCGTTACCACTTTTTTTGAAGAATGAATAAATAGTTTTTCCTCTCTTTGCCGGTCTATTATCATCATGTGACATGATATCCTAACAAGAAATATCAAACACCAAAATTCATATATGCTAATTAATCATTCAAGTTACAAAAATAAAACATATATCAACAATCTCCAAAAAATTTCACCCAAACCCTAAATCATAAAAACTTAACAACAACAATTAAAATTGGAAATTGAATATATAAAATAAAATTTAAAAAAAAAAGAGAAAAACTTACCGAGATTGAAGAACCGACTGAAGATAGGTTGGTACAATTTTGTAGAGGAGGAGAACTATTTCCTCTAGGCTCTCAAGGTTCAAATATGGCGTTTTGGGTGGCTAGAAGAATTTTTTTATGTTTGCTCTCTGTGGGTGTAGCCCAATATAAATACGATTAGAATAGGTCAAGTTGGTAGAGCCTTAGCGTGAGTTCTACTTCTAATCAAATTTATATAGGTTTGAATTGTTGTTTGTTATTTCCTATATGCTTCAGGAGTGGGCTTGTTTTAAATAAAGCTATTATTTACTTTACTTAAATTGGGCTATTATTAGTTTATTATATTTATTTGGTGTAGTGGGCTAATATTTATTGGAGTAGGAATAAACTTAACTATATTTAATATTTTAAAATTTTCCCTTTCCATATTTAAAAATTAAAAAATTTCCCCTAGGCTGGAGCCCACTCCAGCCTAGCTGTACGTCCGCCCTTGAATAAACCCCATGCTTTGGTCAGATAAGAAATATCAATGCAATAAAGGAATCTAACAAAGCTGTAAAAACTGACGCATAATGGATTAATACAAGTGAGAATGTATTAATCCAAGTGATCTATGCATATGATTTTACCTTTTGAACTGCAACGAGGAGACATGGAAGCCCTTCAACCCACACTGATTCTAACCTAGAATCTAGTTAATATTACAAGGGTTTTGTTGGTTTAAGAGAAGAGCCAAAATACAATAAAGGTCCAAATAAAAACCTTACATCCTCCCTCCCTCCTCTCTCAACCTCTCTATCTCATCAGATCCTCTGTTCCTTATTTACACTTGTACTAACCTTCAATTGTCATCATAAATTTGCTACATTTTCCTAATGCTTGAATTCCTTGTGTTTTTTTCTCTCTCTTTTAGAAGTAGATTAATTAATTAGTTAACGAATTCATTCAAATGAAGGATTGAGGCAGTTTTTGCAACAAATATTTTGGTACGAAGATGCTTCTTTGAGCATGAAAATGCAAATATGTTGACCAAAACCAATGAATAAGAGGGATTCGCATACTAGGCAAGAGTAAGAGTAGCAACATAGTAGTCATTTACTGTTGAAGCTAATTTTGAGTTATTCCCTACCCTTTTACCCATTTATCTTGATTATTAATGGTCATCTATCTCTATGGTAGGTATTAACTGCAGCAATGTGATTAAATTTCATCCTCTTCTTTCCTCGAATTTACTAATTCATGACTCTTAGATTCTCCTCATTTTTGGTACTTCCTTGGGCTTGTGGATGTATCTTTTAAAAATATCCATTACAATCAGGGGCGGTCCTACCCTAAGGGCAGGGTAGGCAGCCACTTACTCCATTTTTTTCCAAACTAAATATTACTCAATACCCAATACAGCCAACCAAATATTACTCAATACCATTGATGCAATCTGCCTACTCAAACCCAACCCACTCAAATTTTTCCCTTTAACAAAAACAATAGCCCAGCCCACTCAAACTTTCTCCTTTAACAAAAACAATAAAAAGCTTTGTCAACTCATATGCTCAGCCAACATTCTCCAACCCCATGGGCCATGCCCACTTATTTTATATTTCAAAAAAATAAAAAGAGCAAAGCAAACCCTATATCAAGTGACGGTCCTCACTTTTCTTCTCCCCTTGAACAATTGGCTGGCTGCAACCCAATGGTCCCCACTTTTTTTCTCCTTAGCAGCAAGATCTTCAGCAGCTTCTTCTCCTTTTTTGGCAACAAGTATTTCTCATTCTCTCCTCTTTAATTATCTTCTCTTTTTGGGGTTTTCCTAAAATACATGTATGCATCTTAATTTTAATTTTAATTTGAAATTGAGTATTCTAGGGTTTAATTAGAAATTAATTATAATTTGGGATTTTGTTGAAATTAATTAGGTCTTTAAAATTGAGTATTGTCTCCTCTTTGTTGAGATGTTTGATTTGATGTTGGTATTATTGAGATGTTTGATTTGTTGTTGGTATGTTAATGTTTCATTAAAGACATTGATTTTATTATGAGAATTTGTTTGATTTTTGGTTGTGATGTTTGATCTTTTATTATGTCAGATCACAATCGGAACCCTAAGAAAACAAAGAATTTGTTCTCTTTTTTTAAGAAAAAGAATGATGGGTCATCATCTAGTACAATGCCTCCCCTTTGTGATAAGCAAAATCCTCTCGACTCTCCCATTGTCGAGTCCCAAGTTGAAAGAGTTGATAGTGGTCAAGATTTTAATATTAATTATCTTGAGCATGATCTGGGATTACGTCGTCAAATATGCCAATATTCAGTGAATGAACAAGATAATGTGCGAAAAGGCTATATTATTTTAGGACCATGTCAACCGGAGTTAGAAGATTATCTAAGCCATTTAGAAGGACGAGACTTACGTCGATTTAATAAAACGTGGTTTAGTAAATTCCCTTGGCTTGAGTATTCAGTTGCTAAAGATATGGCATTTTGTTTTCCTTGCTTCCTATTTGACATGAATCATTCACATGCAACCTTTACTATTCATGGATTTCAAAATTGGAAGAGAATTGGTGGCAATCAATGTGTATTTCAACGTCATGTAGGCAAGCTAAATTCACCACATCATCTTGCTATGCAAAAGTGGATTAGCTTAAAAAACTCATCTCTTCATATTGAACCAGTGGTAGATAAGCAATCAAAGCAACAAGTGATGGACAATCGGTTGCGACTTACAACTACAATAGAGGGCATTAGGTATCTAGTAAATCAAGCATTGGCTTTTCGAGGTCACGATGAATCCGTTGACTCATCTAACCGGAAAAATTTCATTGAAATCTTAAAGTCTTTTGCAAGAATGAATATAGAAGTTGAGAAGGTTGTCCTAAATAAGGCTCCTCATAATGCTCAGTATCTTGCTCATGACACACAAAAACAGATCTTGCATATTTTTGCTACCAAGGTGAAGAAGAAAATTTGTAGCGAACTTGGGAAGAACAAATATTGTATTCTTGTTGATGAATCACTTGATGAATCAGGTAAGGAACAAATGTCTATTATTCTAAGATTTGTTGATTGTGATGGATTTATTCGTGAACGCTTTTTCAATATTGTGAGTGTCATAGACACTAATGCCCTGACTCTTAAACAAGAGATATGCAAAGTGCTTGATAATAACAGCATTCTAGTGGAAAACATGCGTGGCCAAGGATATGATGGTGCTAGTAATATGTGTGGTTCATGGAATGGATTACAAGCATTGTTTCTTCAAGATTGTCCATATGCATATTATGTGCATTACTTTGCTCATCGCTTGCAATTAGCATTAAACGGTGCGGCTAAAGATGTGAAAGTTGTATGGAGATTTTTTTCAATGTTGACTAACATTGTAAATTTTGTTAGTGCTTCTGCTAAGCGCTGTAATGAGTTAAATTTAATTCGAAAAGCTAAACTCAAAGAGTTGTTGGATTCTAGGGAAGTTGAGACAGGTAGAGGACTTAATCAAGGTCGTAGTTTGAAACGAGCTGGAGTCACTCGTTGGGGATCTCACTTTGCCTCTATTACAAGTTTGATGAGTTTATTTAAAGAGACAAAAATACTTCTCCAGGAAATCAGTGATTATGGACCTAACCAACAATTTCGTGATGATGCTGAGAGTAACTATATTGCTATGATGTCTTTTGAGTTTGTGTTTTCATTGCTTTTGATGGATAAAATTATGGGATTGACCAATTTTCTTTGTGTTGCATTGCATTTACTTCTTGTTCTTTTGTTAAGCTTTTATTTATGTATAAATATGCATATTTGAGGGTAAGGCTCATTACATCCCCCCTGACTAGGTGTATCTTTTTATTTTTATTAATAAAATTCACTCATATCGTCGAGTTTTTAAGGTAAATTTCGCCTACATGGCTTTTGAATCCTGGATCCACCACTGCCTCTAACCAAAAGTTAGTTAATAATTATCAAGCTTCATCCACTATAACAACATCTAACTACAAAAGGAACAAACTATCCCACAGAACAGCACCCACTACTCATGTTGGATGAGGGATTAAGGGAATCTCATCATACAGACTAATTATTAAACTAACTTATGAAATATTAATAAAATAAAAACATAAAACATAATACGTAACGCTTAATTATCAATCTATCCTATAACTTTTTCAAATTCACAAATTTAATCATTTTAAGCCCTTTATGTTAGTTCAAGTGATGAGGGTAAGTCTGAAATGAGTTAGGCCTATGATAGATAAAGAGTTCGCTTCTTTTACCCCTAAAATGGGCGCTCGGTCTTACTTTAAAAGGTATTAAACCTTTTATAAACGAACGGTTTAAGAATTACACATCGACCCGTTAACAGCTTGTTGGGCCATTTTGCTCAAGGGCTCTAGTTCTTTTTCCATTGTATAATTGCGATGGAAATCATCAAATAGACCATGGGCCTGTAGCTCTTCTCTACAACTAAAGAATTGCAAACTAGGTTTAGTGGGGTGCGCCAGGCCCATGCAAATCTATGAAATATTAATAAAATAAAAACATAATATGTAACACTTATTTATAAATTTATAATATGCAAGGATTGATATTGACAACGCAATTTATGGATGGTTTGACAGAAAAGGTCCAGTTGAATTTTACTAAAAATTAATTTTGCATGTCACTGCAGAATTGAAGGGATAAATTAATAATTATTTTTGCATGTCACAACTGGATATATTAAACAATTATATCAAACAAAAAGGTAAAATCAACTTGAGGAAGACAAGGCATGAGCCTATTTTGCTATCTAGTTGCCTAAAGTTGATCTTGAATTAAGGCAGGGGCCGCACGAACGCAGGCCCCCACTACAACAAATTATGACGTTGGCTCTCCTACATTGAGGAGACCATAGGCGGGCACCCGACCTAAGTGCAATGGAGGTCACCAACCTAGGCCATGAGCCTTCTTGATCGCTCATAGACTTCATCCAGGTAAGTATGTTTTGAAGTGCCTCTTGTTCTTTTTTAATACATTAGTCTCACTCTCAACTTCTTGTGCATTTCCGATGTGGTACTTTAAGCTAGACATAATCACTAGCTAAAAAATGATGAAAAAAATGTCAGAGACGCATGCGATTTGACAAGCTTAATTAATCTAGAGAAACACTTAACTTCCAAATTCACAAATTTAATCCTCAAGCCATTAACATTAGTTCAAGTGATGAGGGCAAGTCAAAAAATTAATTAGAATTATGATAAGTAAAGAGTTCGCTTCTCTTTCATTGTAACAAAAGAATTTAAGCTAACATTTGTAATTGCTTTATAAAATGACTTTTCAGCCATAAAAAATAATTTGGGTTCACATACTAACCCAAAGACATGCAGTTTGAAGGCTTGGTTTGCAAATTCAAAAGAACAATGTTACTCAATAAGGTTTGTGGAATTATTCAAGTACATGTAGTGTTATAAATATAGAAATACAACTTGAGATTTGTTATGTTCGAAAAAGTTTATTTGTTTTTCAGAATGTTCTTCAGGTTACAAATAATACAAATAGACAGTTTATTTCTTTTTCAGAATTTTCTTCAAGTTACAAATAATACAAATAGACGCCAATAAGAATTGATTGAGTTTGTAAGGATCGGTCTTTTCGCTAATCTGTAAAAACAAAAAAAGAGGACTACAACTCCCTCTGTAAGTCCTCAAGAACGCCTTGATATGTCATAATGACAATGAGTAGCTTCCCCTCCCCTAAATACCAAAATAAAAAATTAATACAAATGGACACATTTGAACTAGATTTGGTGGAGTGCGCCCGGCCCATACAATAGTGCAACGCTTGGGCGACACTTATCATGTGAGCCATTGGCCCACGTATCAGATATTAAACTGATAAGAACAGATACTACATTTGATCTTAGCCAAAAGGCCGAGAAAGGTATATTTATTCTCGCGTCTTGTTTCCGTTCTTATAGGTCCATTCGCTTCCATGCCATTTGGTGGAGTGCGCCCGGCCCATACAATAGTGCAACGCTTGGGCGACACTTGAGAGCCCCAATAGCAGGCTATTTTGGCGGACCCTCCTCATAAAGAAATTAATTTAATATCATGTGAGCCATTGGCCCACGTATCAGATATTAAACTGATAAGAACAGATACTACACTTGATCTTAGCCAAAAGGCCGAGAAAGGTATATTTATTCTCGCGTCTTGTTTTCGTTCTTATAGGTCCATTCGCTTCCATGCTTCTTTGGTCAAGCCGATGTGGGATTGGTACAAACAGCTAAAGTGTGCTTAGAGCAACTCCACCCATTTGCCCTTAGCCATGGCAAGGGGGGAGCTAGGGCAGCCACTATTCACGTGTGAATAGTAGTTGCCCTTGCAAATAATATTTTGTGTTTTCACCCGTTGCCATGGCTAAGGGCAGTTACTATTCATTTTTTTGTTTTTTTCACAAATTTTTTTACCTCAATAATTAATTCGGATAATATTTTCGGACAATATTTTCGGATTCCTACGTGTCAAGACTATTCATAATTGGATAAAATTTCCGGATAAGATTTTTGTGTTCAAATTTCGGATAAATTTCAAATTTCAAATTTTAGATAAATTTCAAATTTCAAACAAATTATGCCTTGTTTGTGGTTTGTTTTTATTATTGTGCCTTGTTTGTAGTTTTTGTTTTTATTATTTATTATGCTTTGGTTGTGGTTTTTCCTTTAAATTATGTTTGTCTTGTTTCTAATTTTATACGCCCATTCTCATCCATGCTTCTCTGGTTCAGACGATATGGGATTGTTATAAGGCTGCGTGGGAAGGGCTGGTGAGTTTGTGACTCGAACTAACAGAGAGCAAAACTGATTTGGCTTATACATGCATACATACATACATCTGTTAACAAAAGTAAAACGTTGGTGCAAAACGAAGATATTCAATTACATACAAATTGTCTCATATAGAAGAAGCAAAGGCTGCTTGCGATTTGGGAAAATGGTATGGCCAAGGCTTGGTATCTGTGCTAACTATTTGTGGTTCCAAATTGCGTAGAAGTTAATCACACTCATGCTCTAATTAGACGATAACATAAGTTAAAACACTCTTTTTATTTATTTATTGGTGTTCATTCTTCATCTATTATCTAGACTTGAAAAAACCCCATTTGCACCAATACTAATGTTCAGACCTGGCAAACGGGTGGTGGTAACAAGTTTGGGGTCGTGTTAAGGGGTTGACACAAACATGACTTGTTAAGTTAACAAGTGAAAAATACCATACCCAAACACGACTCGTTACAATTCGCGAATGACCCGTTAAGAACATGGGCGTAGCTAGACGATAGTTCTTTCAAAAAAACCGTCGTCTTTATATCTAATAGACAACAGTCCCTTTCAAAAAAAGTCGTCTTTACATATAATAGATGACAGTTCATTAATTTTTAAGTCTTTAATAGTGTAGATGATGAAATTAGTATTTAACCAATTTAAAATATGAAATTCATGATAATTAAATTATGAAGAGAAGACAAGTTTTATGAAGGGCCCCCTCTAATGTGAAATCATGGCGCTACCACTAGTTAAGAATAAACCCAAAAAAAAAAAAAAGTAGAAGAAAAAAAACACACAGCCAACAACCCCCTCTCTCTGTCCTTTTTCTCCCAATTTTCATGACAGGACCCGACCCAAATTTCACTTTGGAATCCGAGCCGAACCCCGTGCATGTCCGACACCTGACAATCGCGGGACACAATTGACCAAATTGCCCTTCTAACCAAAATTCCATGAAATTTAAGTGCGACTTCTGCCGAAAATTCGGCAGAGTCTCCCATCTAAATTGAACATTTTCCAAACATTCCCACCTGTAAAACAAGCATGTATGTTTATATATAACCCAACTGCCAGCATGCAATAATTTATATCCAAGAAAATCAAGCGTCATACCACTCTGGCCTCATGCCTCAATAATTCAAATAAATATTCTGCCAATAAAACTCGATTCTAAATCTTAGAACATCCTCAGAACCGTATGAAGTTTCAAAATAACTTAACTGGACTGCTTTTCAATCATTTGGCCTCGCGGCTGAACCTAGAATTCTAGGTTGCCTACGTATCCTTAACAAACGATCAAGCCACCCGTAGTTCTTCTATTTAATAATATAATTGAATATCTTATTCATTCATCATATTTCCATGTGTTTTGCAAATCAAACTGAATTCTCATGTGCGTGATGTACTCAATCATATTCACAATTCTAAAACAATATTTTGCAACTTCCCAATGCACGTAACAGTCAAATACTGGTTATAAATAAGCCATATACTGAACTCCCTCTATTTTAGTTTAAGAACATCTCGAAATCGAGATTCTCTCCACCTAAGCGTACCCTCATTCCTGATCCGTCAATTCCATTAATACCGTCAATTCCATCCTCGCAGGCCTTGGAGACACCAAGTCTACTTGAGCCGCAATACTCGCATGCCTCGGAGATACCAAGTCTATCCGAGACGCAGTCCGCTCAGCCCTCAGAGACACCAAGTCTATTCGAGCCGCAATCCTTGCAGGCCTCAGGGGACCATTGGTCAGCCTGAGCCGCATTCCTCGCACCACAAGGTTCAGGGGTTCCCAAAACACGTGGGGCATCATTTATAAATGACTCTGTTTCAAAGCAACTAGGGGGTACCCTTGTGGTGGGTTTGAAAAACCATATCCCAAACGTATATCAATACTCTCCCTTTAATTCACAATCCATATCCCGACCTTAATATCAACTTTCAATAAATTGATTCTCAATTATACTTAATATATATATATATGCCATATTCTGATAAAGACCAAGGGCCATGACTCATCATTTTCAGCTACTGAGTATATGTATTAAATATGAACATGCACTTAAATATTTAATTAGTTTATTAACCACTTCGAACTTCGATTATCATACCATTCCAACACTAAAATAATAATCTTAATAGCAAATAAATTACTAAATAAATAAGCTAATAAAAGAATAAAACAATAAGTTGATATTCACTACGCCCATAGATTCCAACGAATACTATAGTGCACTTTCAAGTAACTCATAGTTAAACTATGCACAATTTAGCAGTCTGTAAATGACTATCTATATTTAATCTGTAACACCACCCAGATAACTCATTTCCGGTCAGGACTCGCTTACATGGTCATTCTAATGCTTCTCAAAGGTTATAACTGCCTCGGAAGACTCACGGTCAACCGAGCCCGCGGGGCCCACGTCCTCCTAAGCAAATCTGGGAGTCCCTAAAGGTTCCAATATGCCTAGAACACATGTCCCGAGCGTTTGGTCTCGATCGGACGGTTAGATAACTCACGATCGCACGATCGGACGGTTATTGTAAACCTAGCCCTAGGGTTGGCATTTTCGGAGTATCCGGGACTCCGTTTTTACTATCCGTCGAATCCTATACGATCCTAGAATTATCTAGATCAACATATATGAAATTGACTATGATCCAACAATTCAAACATATCGAACCCGAAAATTGCACAATAGGTGAGATCCGTTCGGGGTTCAAACGTTGCCCGAATTGAAATCCGAAAGTACCTACGTGCTAGTGAGGACCAGGAGATCATTCTGAAACCCTAAGCCGGTCCAAATCCTGGCCCAAATTCCGACGGCCGGAAAAACTCCAAACTGCTGGCCCATTCCTACCCTAGGTGTAAAACCCCATTTGGAACCACTTTTGTTCTTGGACCTACCCCGAAAAATGGCCGGAAGTGGCCAAAATTTCAATTTGAAAATCGGCCAAATTTCAACTCGTATTTTGGGTTATCTAAGCTACAAATCAATCAAATCCTACCCAACCATCAGCTAGAGCTCGAAACTTAGGTGGAAAAGCATACCTTATTTGACCGGTTTGGTGGCCGGAGGAGGGAGAAACGGCCGGCAAAAGTTTAAGAAAAATCTATCCAAAACCGCCTGGTTCATGGCTGATTCCGACGACTACGGCGGTGGATTGAGGCGGAGAAGGGCTGGGGCTGGAAGAGGGAAGTGTGGTGGTTTGTTTAGGACCGGTTTTGCTTGAAACGGAGACCGGAGTTGGGAGAAATCACCATATGAAGTTGGCTGGTCGAGCTGCCAAGTGAAGAAATTCTAGGTATTTTAAAAAAAACTGAACTTCGGAATATTTACGATTATGCCACTAGCCTATTCTTGATCGCCATTTCTTCGTTACAACTCCGATTCAAGCCACTACGTGTCTACGGACTCGTCTCAATGTGCTCTACGCAACGGTTCAATTAAAATTTCCAAATTCCTTCCCGAACTTAAAATGACCCTTTTGCCCCTCTTTATATTAAATAATATTTTTAATTTTCAAAAACCTTAATTAATTCAAATCATTTTATTTTATTTTTTATTTCAATTTATTTTCAACTCTTAAATCATTTCAATATTCCCGGGGTAAAATTGTCTTTTCCTTGAATAATTTAATGTTTAACTATTAATTTAGGATCGGGTTGTTCCATTTCATCTCATAAACACCATCCAGAAATCTTTCATGATGATTACTGTATTGCCTGTAGGACAATACATTGCAAATATGCAAGTCTACAAGTTTGGGTTATGGGTTTGTTGGGGGGTGGGTTTGTGATGGGGGATGCGGGGATGAAAATGGATGGTTCAAGTATGATTCGTCCTTTAATTTTGGATCTAGGTTTTACCTTTTTTCCTAAATTTGTATAACTTCATGTTTGTTAAAGCTGATTTGCTGGAATATATCCGGAACAAACCATTGTTAGATGCATATGTTAAGAAAGAACACCAACTAGCCCCATCTCTTTAATGTAAAAGAAAATTATGTTGGCAATTGACGAGGGAAATGGCCAGGAGAAAAAGAGTGTGTTAATATGTGATTATTAGGGGTGGGTCTGTGGGTGAAAAAACATTTGGGTTCGTTGGGGGGGATCCATAGGAATTTTTTTTTCTTTAATTTTTTCAAAAAATAAATTTTTTTAATGATTTGACGGATTATTGGATGACATGTTATTGATTTGGACGGTAGGGGGAAATTGAGAATAAATTTAGTTTGAGTCCTTAATTTTTGAAAAAAAAAAGTTTAAGAGGTAAATTGATAATTATGTACAAGTTCAAGGGGCATTTCGGCAGTTTACCCTATAGAAAAGAGAGGGAGAGAGAGATGAAGAGAGAAGGAAAAGAATAAATAATGAAAAAAGAGGCATGGCGTTGAAGACTTGGGATATTTTATATAAAAAAACATTTAGTAAAATTACCAAATTACTCTCCTTAACGGGTGAATGTGAATATTTGCGAATTGACCCAACACAATTCATTAGCTTAACAGGTGGCTAACGGGTTCACTTGTTTTCAACCTGTTGGGATCTTTTTCCGTTGGAAGGCTCGTCCGGGCTTGTTGATTCTTGGACTGCCATAGAATGGTGAATCAAGCCTTCGTTGCCCCTTTTTCTGAGTTAGCGAGAATTAGGCCCAAAGCATCATGAGGGAGAAGCAAGTCCCAGGAAAGTACTCTGTTCTTCTTCCAACGGCTGCGTGTTTTATGCTGATATTTTCGGCAGCTTGACGAAGAGTTGAAGATGGTGCATTGATGTCGCACAAGCTTGACATGAGAGTTTGCTTTGGTGAATCAAGATACTACTAGGCTTAGCTTGAGAGGATAGGTGTTTCAGATATGGGATGGAGCCTTTTTGAGAGAGAGAGAGAGAGAGAGAGAGAGAGAGAGGATGAGTGGCTTTAGCATATTTCTAGCAACTTGACGAAAGCTTCATCAAGCTCTTGTGTGGCTTGCCAGAAGAGAAAAAAGAGAAGAAATGGAAGAATAGAGCTTGAAATCGAAGGGTTCCAGAGGTGAGAGGTGATGCTTGCTCTCTCTATTTTGATCGTAACTTTTTCGTTACAACTCCGATTTGAGCCGACTATGTGTCTACGGACTCATCTCGGTACGATCTATGTAAAAATACCACTTATTACCCCAAAATCCTTCCGGATTATAAAGTGACCATTTTACCCCTACCCCGAGGGCAAATTTGTACATTCAAAATTGTTGAAATTAATTAATTAAATTAATGAATAATCTTACTTTGGGTCGGAATGTTACAAATAGCACCTAGTTGGCTGATTTTTTAAATTTATTTTTTAGCCGCCATAGCCGCAACACGGTTATACTCCGTGCAGAGGTCGCAGCCGCTTGCTTTCTAAGGTAAGGTACGAACTAATGCTGGTAAGTGAACGAACCTGTGAATTCTCGCTAAGACGTGTACAAAAAAGGAAAGTATTATTGAAAAATACGTACGTATGTATATAATACGAGTATTAAATGGGAAAATGCTAAATTCTTTATACGAGTAATAACTCTGGAAAAATAAAAAATGAAAAGGGGACAATAGAGACCTGGGAAAATGCTAAATTCCTAATAGAAATGGATAATGTTCTAAACTAATCTTATCAATAAACGAAAATAAGGGAAAAAAATTATAAATAAAAAAAGAGGATCTCAATATATGTTTAAAGAGTGTAGCCGATCGGCTATACTATTCATTATTAAAAAAGTTAAAAAAAGGGACCACAATATAACCGGCCAGCTAGCTATGCTCTTTAAAAGGGACCACAATATAACCGGCCAGCTAGCTATGCTCTTTAAATATATTTAAAGGTCTAGCCTCGCGGCTATACTATTTATTTTTTTCAGAAAAAGAGGACTCGACGATCCCCTAGGAACTTATTCTCGTTTCGTAGGCATGCCATAATTTTGAACTGATACTCGTTTCTGTTGCTTGATCATTTAAGCTTATGTGTAACATACACAAAGTTTAAGTTATATTTCTTCATGCAGTGTTGTTAATATGTGTTGCATGGCATTCCTTTGTTGTTTTCTTGACTTTGAAGTTGCTATTAAGAGGCTTTTTACGCTTTCAAGGAAATTGTGACAACAATTTCTAAGTCTTTGCATTCTATCAAAAAATTTTCTCATTGGATTAGCTTTTAATTTGTAACTTTCTTGGTTGACTTGTCTCACATAAGATCGAAGTTCTTAGTTATGATGACAGTATGGAGCTGTGCTTCTTTCGGGCATGAGTTTGGAAGCCTTTTATCCAGCTATTGATGATTGTTTCTATGCTATGATTGGAGAAGGTTCAGCAGCAGGTTACAACATTAATGTCCCCAGGGAAAATGTGTGGGGATGCAGACTATTTTGCAGTTTGGGACCATATTTTGGTTCCTGGAATTGCAGCAATTTCATATTAACTAATTATGTACTATCATCTTCAAATATCAGCATCTATTTCTATCATTTGGAATAATGAGGTCATCATATTTTGTTTGGCCTGGGTGATCATTATAGTATATAATCGTCATAAACTACCATTTGCAAACCAGTGATCTATAACAAATATCCAAAAAGCAATTCATGCACAAGAACCCATTGATCATCATATAAATTTCCAAAGAAGAAAAGGCTTGTAACTCAGAGGTTAAGTAATACAGTTAATGCCTCTTTCCACTGCCACTGGGGTTCAGATAACGAAAGAAGACGCTGCAAAATTGACAACTGCCATTCCCACTCTTCAAATGTTTAGCAATTGACGCTCTCCACTCCAATGCTTGTCTTCCACCCCTACTTACGCCATCACTTAGAGCATGATCTAGTTCAGTTATAAACTTATAGTTGAAGGAAGACAGTGATGTAATATATCTAGTAGTTTCCCCATGAAAGATACAACTAATTTGTTTCCCTCTTCACGTGTTAGATCAGTTTGCTCTGAAGCACATGTGAAATGTGATTCAGAATAGCTCCATGGTGAGGCACAATGAGCCAAATTGAGAGAATGATCATCCATATGTAAAAGCGAACTTATGACATTCGCCATCATGATCTGCATCATTACAGAAGCATTATAAAATAATTACAATGAAGAACAGGAAAAAAGATGCAGCAAACTAATAAAACTGATGACATCACAAACAAATTGAGAGCATTTAAATTTCAAAGGAAAACATGAAACTTCAAAGTAAAATTGAACAAAATACCAAAATGCAATCCATTTAGCAGTTGCTAATTCTCTAGCATAAGAACATGAATGATAAATAATTTGTTTTGCATGCATTTTTTGGTGACTATATTTTACACAAAACAACTTTCAAAGACAACAGGCAACAGATTTGCCCGAGGAAACATGTTAGACATGTAATTGCAAGTTGAACTTATCTGGCATAAACATGAGAAAATAACAGTTTTGACAACCACAAAAAGGAGGTACGATTGAAAATGTTAGGCTAAAAGAAAACCATATTCAGAATAGACTACCTTGCGAGGGATGTCATTGACAGCCTCCAAATGGTTCTGTAGATCTTTCAAATGGTCAAATGCAACTTGATGAAAACTTTTTCTTTCACCAGTCATAGTCCTTTCCATCACTCCAACATCAAGAACAGCTAAATCTAGAGCATACCACATGTGCATAAGTTCAATGTCCTGCATCCTGCCATGTAATAAAATAGAACAGAGAAACGCGAAACCATCAACATGTGAAGAAAAGCATGTCAAATCCCAAAATGAAAAAAATATGAAATACCAAAATTCGTTTGCAGATCTAATTTAAGGGTTGGAGAAATCCATTTTCGGGATTGGGGCATAATTCTCCCTTGGATGCATAATGCATTGGCCTTCTTCCATTTCATTCCCCTCCACCTCCCCACCCCCTGCACACACACACACAACAGAAAAGACTCCCACAAACTTGCGAGTTACAACACAATATGACAGTATTATTATATTAACGTGTCAAAACTAACAGAAATATTATCATAGCTTCTCTTGGGTCGTGTTTGTTAAAGCATTTCAAAGACTAATTTATTGTAACTCATGTTGATTGGACAGAGTTTTGGGCTGAATGTAATCTGATTTCATATGTCATGTCATGATTGTTGGTCTGATTTTGATGGTTTTCTACAAGATATCTTTGAAGATGAAAAGAACAAAGAAATTATTTTCCTTTCTTTGCTTTCTTTCTAGCCCATCTTTCTTGTAGGTTTTCTTTCTCTGTTTTGAATAAGATACAGTTTTCCGTGTCAAAACAACAAAGAAATAGACCAGAACAAGATTATTTTGAGAATTTTGAGGACTTACCCGAAGTGGACTGTGATTTCAAGTACGAAATTCTCAACAAAAGGGTCTAACAGGTGATCTTCGTATGCTATTTGTTCTTTAGCAGACAACATCAACGATAATTTTCAACTGCATGCTTGACCAGAATTGACGCAGGCAACAGAAGAGGAAAGATCAAGCCGATAACACAAAGAATCACAAGGAAATTTTTGAAAAATTGGGCAAGGCGCTCGCCTAGGCGGCCTGGGCGGCTGTGTGCAATATCAAATTAGTTTCTTTAGGTTTTTTTATTTTCTTTTTTGTAATTAAACAATATCTTTGCTTTATTTTAATTACTTTTATTAGTAATTATGTTTTAATTATTATTTATTTAGTGAACAATTAGTATTAAATATGTTAATTAAATTACTTAATAAATATTAATTATTATGTTGTAATATTTTTCTGACTTTAATTTTCATAGGGATAAATTTTTTTTTTGAAATAGCTAATTAATTAATATTTTTAATTGAATAATATCTTAGTCTTATTTAATTAATATAATTACTAATTAGCTTTTAGGTATTATTTGTTTCATAAATTACTTATCAAACAATAATTAATTTTTATGAATTATTTTGTGCTCTTAAAAACCAAGAAAGTGGTTGCAACATAAGTATATATCACAAAAGAACCAATACATACATATAGTATACTTGATTTGCTTATGAACTTAATCCTTGATTGACTGGTTTGTAGTGGTTACATGTCCTCATAATACGAAATTGATGGGTTCTACTCGCTAAAATCCGATGTCTATAGTTTTGATGGGTTGATGCTAGATACAGTGAGTGGGAAGAGAAACATAGGATTTACTCATTGCTTTTTTTTGTTTCTTCTTTTAAGTAAGCACAATGATTTTGAACTTTTGATAAATTCTTTTAGGCATGGATGCTATACACAGAAGGCAGGTCTATTAAAGTGCTTGATACATCAATAGGGGATTCAGGTGATCCACATGAAGTTGTGAGATTATTTCATGCACGTAGGTCTTTTATGTGTGTAGCGTAACCTGGTAGATTGGCCGAGCATGCCAGTTACAGTGAAAGGGATCTCAATGAACTCGAAGTTGGTCATTCTTTTAAAGCATTTTCAACAAATGAACGCAAGTGCTTCAAATTTGGGGCAAAGATTCATGAAGTTCCAAATTGTGTGAGGAAAGATCTCCTAAAATGCCACTGCAATGTGCACGTGTTATAAGGTATGCAATTACAGTCACTTCAGTCATATGCACTTAGCCAGTTAGTGATAGGGGAAACCAGTCTAGAATTTTTAGATTCTTTACAGAGCATGTGTTTTTGTCGTTTTTGACCATTGTGTGATATTTATTATGTGTAGTCCGAGATGGCTATTTCGACTTTAAAGACTATTTTGAATCTCTATGTGATACTGTCGAATTTGCTTTGAAAGCTATTTAGAGGCTCAGGTAATTATTTATGTTTACTCGGCGGTCCCAACCCAAACCATATATATGCAGTTTGAGTTTGGCGTTGTATAACTTACTGAGAGGACTTGGGGAACTGAACCATGCATATTCCCTTCTAATGGCTAGCTCAACCTTACCGTCACCCTCATCCACACACTAGTAGCAATAGTTTACATATTGAATCAGTGGTCAATAAGCTTTCCAATAACATATATATTTGTTCTAGATAAGCAGCTGTGAGCCTGTGGCAATAGGAGGGTACTAAAGAGACAGATACTACTACTTGTGTGTATATATATATATATGGTGGATCCGTGGCTTCATATTTTTGACACAAGTTTTGACACAAGTTCTTTACCATTAGATTAACACATTATAAATGGCTGAGATTAAATCTCACTACTATTTATTACTATCTTTTTAACAATACTTTTTGCCTAAAATTACTATTATTTTAATAGAGGAATTATGAATTGCACAATTCCCATGATTCTCTCTCTATATCTCTTCTCCGTGCCCACCGTTGGCTCTACTTCTATCCCTCTTCCTCCATGGCCACCATTGACTACATCAATCAAGAATGCCAGCAGCAATCAACAACCGCCATCTATTAATTAAAAAAATTTCTTCCCATCCTTCATCAGGCCAACAAGCATAACCCAATTCCTCCGAGGCTTATCAAGATCATATCTTCAGTGCCTCAAAGTTCATCAAAATATTCAAAGTGAAAGCTTGAACAACATGTTCAATGGATTAGTTGAACCAACCCCTGCAGACTATTCTCAAGCAATTATCTCACATCTTACCACCCATTATACAGTTTTACGAAGGCTCAATGATGAGACAAGTAATTAACTAAAGAATTAGGAATTTTCCTTCGAGTTTTAATTATTAATTCAAGTTTTTTTTTTTTTTTTTTAAAACCAACGTCTTTCATTTTAAGAAACAAAACCAGAACAGCAGGAGATATAAACCAAAACAGAGTAGCGAAAAAAAATACAGCTGACTTATGGCCCTTGTTCCGTCTTCAATTTCTTAGAGGGCATGGTAGCCCATCCAAATGAGTTAGGACTAATGAGGGTCGGTCCACCTAGACCTCTTCGTGCATCATCCTCTTCTCCCAAGATGCACTGGAGAGTTTAGGTTGTACATTTGATAGATACCCAAGGGTGGGCATGGTGGAAGAGAGATGTCGCGATTTACATGGAGAAAAAGAGAGAGTTTTGGGACCCGTGCCAGTCTTAATTATTCTAATAAAATAATAATAATTTTTGAATAAAAGTATTATTAACATGATAATAATCAATTAGTTGTGAGATTTAATCTCATCCATTTATATTGTGTTAATCTAATGGTCAAGAATTTGTGTCAAAAATATAGTGCCATGGATCCACCCCTATATACATAGTTGGCTTATTATCACAAAACGTCTCTAAGATTTACGAAAGATTGCATCGTTAATGTTTTTTTTTTTTGTCATTCGTGGTCCACAAGGTTAGTATGTGTGATCACAAATGGTCCATGCCGTTAGGTTCCGTAAAAAACTCTGTTAGTTTGTTGACGTGACATATATATATATCACAAAACATCCATGAGGTTCACACACCTATCACAAATGGTCCTTGCAAATTTTTTTAATTTAAAATTCATAAATTTTTTTGGTTTTCTTTTTTAAATCTTATGAATTTTAAATACACATGACACTATATTATTGTAGATGTGGGCACCACATATATGCCACATCAACAAACTAATGAAGTTTTTTTAAAATAATTTAAAATTCATAAAATTTAAAAATGAAAAAACAAAGGGTTTAGGGTTCATAAATGGTCCTCAAGGTTAAAATCCATCTATAAATGATTTTTTCATTTTTAAATTTTATGAATTTTAAATTATTTTTAAAAACTTCATTAGTTTGTTGATATGGCAGATATGTGGAGCTCACATCTTCAAAAAGATAGTGTCATATGTATTTAAAATACAATATAAATTATGAATTTTAAATTATTTTTAAAAACTTCATTAGTTTGTTGATATGGCAGATATGTGGAGCTCACATCTTCAAAAAGATAGTGTCATATGTATTTAAAATACAATATAAATTATGAATTTTAAATTATTTTTAAAAACTTCATTAGTTTGTTGATATGGCAGATATGTGGAGCTCACATCTTCAAAAAGATAGTGTCATATGTATTTAAAATACAATATAAATTATGAATTTTAAATTAAAAAATTTCGCGTGGACCATTTGTGATCACACATACTAACCTTGAGGACCATGAATAACACAAAAAAACATTAAGGATGCAATCTGATAGTTTCGTAAACCTTAGGGACGTTTTGTGATAATAAGCCTATATAGTTCTATATCAATTCAAAGTGTAATAACTGCAGGCTGTATACCTATCGCCTCAAGTAAAGACTTTAAGCTATAAATTTCACGTTTACAATTTATTGAGTTTTACATAAACGGCCAAGGGATGTAACGTGTGCTTTGGGGATGCCTTTAGTTAGAATAACACTGATCTTACTTTCAACCCAAGAGAAAAAAGACTATTGCTTTTATAATCAAAAAAATTCTTTTTTTTTTTTTCTTATTGGCAACATTTCATAAAATTCAAATCATCTCACAGCAATATATTTATTAATTTTATTTTCTAAATACGGACCAAGGTATTAACTTTATATTTTTATTACGTTTGGAAACTAGTGTTATTAGAAATTTAACTTATCAAACATATTATATAAGCAAAAGAAAAAGAATTGAGCTTAACCTTTAAAACATCTTTTCAAACCAAAAAAATAAAATAAAATAATTTAGTTTGGTAATTACTTAAAAGAGCTAATTTTAAAGTAATTTACTTGTCGTGTTTATTATTAGAATACATTTCTAATAATAACTTTTGAATAAAATAATAAAATAATAATAACTTTTGAATAAAAGTATGATTAACATGATAATAATCAATTAGTTGTGAGATTTAATCTTATCCATTTGTAAATGTATTAATCTAATGGTCAAGAACTTGTGTCAAAAATATAGTGCCATGGATCCACCCCCTAGATATATAGTTCTATATCAATTCAAAGTGTAATAACTATAGGCTGTATACCTATCACCTTAAGTAAAGACTTTAAGCTGTAAATTTCTACGCAGCAGGCACGAGCCTAGCGCTTAGAGGAGTAATCGACTAGGCGTTTTATTTATTTATAATTATTTTGTATTATAAATTATAAATTTATACATAAATAATGCAAAAATAAAAGGACATATAAATGATAAAGTACCATAATCTATATATATAAAGCAAAATGCAAAGAATGGTAAAACATTCAAAATACCAAAAAAAACCCTTGGTTAATGCAAACATTAAGAATTTAAATTATTAATTAAATGAGGATAATATGGTAAATTCACACTTTTTCACATTAAAAAAAATTGAAAAAAAAATCATATATAAGATTCTATTTTTATGGAACACAACTACCCATTATCTTTTATAATTCTAAATTTTTTTATTTTTTTATTTTTTAAAAAGCCTCAAGCAGGCGCGGAAGCGCGTGTGGAGAGGTTAGTTGATATAAAACATGGGAAATAGTTAGGCATAAAACCTAGGTTTTCTTTAGAGGGTGCATTTGCTAATGCATGAGTTGGGAATCTCTTAATTATATTTAACTTTTCAAACTAACTTCAAAAGCACTAGATTAACAC